TCAAAATACGTCGACATCCCGCTGCATGAAAAATCACTTGTATCCAATCAAATGCTCTATCGCCCCAAAATTGACCTTATAGGTGATGCTTGAAACAATGTTATCTATAAAATGACATTTTCATAGTTTTAGGATTCTGTTATAGCAACATCAAAGAGTAATGTAATTTATTGTCGGAGATTCAAAATCATGTTCATTTCGATAACGAGCTTTGTATTACAAAGTCAGGCCAGTGTGTTACTGATCCACCCAAAAAGAAAATCCGATGTCTCAAGTTTCTCCATCATATCATTTTTTGTCCTTTTTTAAAGTGTTTATTGGCATTCCAATGAGTATGTGGATATATTTTCTTTTAATTGACTTATTGTCGACTTTTATAGTCGAGGGACTTTTTTTTTATTTAGCCTCTGTTTAAGATCCCCGATTCGGCATGGATGTGGACGTACTAGTCTAGATCACTCAGACAAACAACGCAACATAGTATACTACTGCACCCATGTTTGATTTAACAATAATGATTTCAAGATCGTATAAGTAAACACACAATTTGATTTTTAACGAGGGAAATTACGTAGTTGTTACATATAATATTGACATTAAATATTACATATTTGAAATGTATTCCGTAACTATTTACCCTTTAAATCCACGTTTCTTAAAATCCATTGACCTGGTATTTTAAAAATATGACTATCAAAGGTGAACACAACCAAAGTAGCAAATACGAAAGCAATTACCGTGATTCAATCAATGATGCTCAAATATCAAATACCCTAAGAGTTGGCATTGGTTATAGATTGTAAAAATATTATCATCTAGACTTTTCCGACTGCCGGTAAGACCCATGCTGAGGTATTGTCTTTTTGGCTATGCATGTAGTATTATAGAAACATAGACACGACCGGTGTCACGCCGGAGGGACAAGTGTTTTATATATTTTCAAAACTATAATTAACGTAAATGTATGATAGCCCGCCATAGATATTTATAAAATCTCTTCAATAGGTCCGTTAGCAACCGAAATTTCCGTCTTTAACACATATATCTTTTCAGTGGAAGTTCAAATGCCATTCCATTAATCCCAGTGGACCAAAATTACAGAACCCAAATACACTGTAAAGAAGTCATAGTTTGGTATGTTCTCGACCTGGATGTGAATGAAATATACAAATATTTATCACATAATGTTAAAAAAACAATCTATTAATTGATTAATTAAAAATGCTTGGAGATTAAGAAATTTGTTGAAAGAGATTTATATATCTTAAAAAAGAATATCATTTATGGGACATCAACCTCTCCAGTTTTATTTTATTCAACTGTTAACATCCTTCTTATATTTTGAAAATTTGACTATGCTCCCATCAACTATGACAGTTGTGTTCTTTGACATTAATGTATGCTAACGTATAATATCAAAATACATCTGATTTATGAGATTATTCGAGAAATGACATAAATTAACAGGTTTAGTTTGATGGCAAAAAAGTCAACAATTGCCCGATAGCAGCCATCGTTATGGTATGTTAGTGGACATTTAAGTGACGACCATTTAATTATCTGACATTGCGGTATTGGAAATGAATATGCTAGCCTGGTAAGAGCTCAAAAATATAACATTGTCTTTGGATGACAATAAATGTTCCGTCCCAGATTCATTGACAAAATGCAGGATACAATTGTGAACAAAATCAAAAATAAATTAAGGCCCCCACCCTTGTCCATTTTACTATCATATTTCTTACATATATTTATAAGAAAGCACTTGTGATATACTTGTTAGTATAAAAGACATGTCAAACAAACCAGTTGAATATTGAATAATAGTTGAATAACATAAAAAAAATACCAGGAATCACCAAAAATAGTACAACAGACTACTCCAACCACAAACACCGACCCCTTCGAGAAAATAGTGAAAAAAAAACAGTGAAAAACAACAGCGAGCAGCACCTATTGCATGAACTTTACACCACAGCATCCTTTGAAACAGTCTTTCTTTACAATGCACATTGATTGTTACACAATAAACAGTTAACTTGTGTCAATTACTCATTTTCTAAGTACATTGTTATTTTCATAAACACTATTTATTTGTAAAAAAAAAGATTGATGGTCACTGTAAAGTAAGCATATTCGATCTGGTACTCGATTATATAACAATTGTTTTCACGTGATATATTGACTCTCGACAATGTATGTGATGCAGCATACAATAAGGAAAAAAATAATAAAAGAATGCTGAGTGTTTGGTATTGCAACAACAATATATCAAATTATGATATTTACAGTGATAGACAAGTTTAAAATCAAATGTCAAGATCTAAATCACTCTTGTTATAGACAAGTTGTGGATGAGCTGAATGAAATAGCGGCAACAAAGGGCTTGTCCTTAACACCAATGCAAACTCTATAAAGGACAATATGTATATAACCACAGAAGAGTTTCCTGGTTGTAACCCGATATTTATACAAAGCGAAATTAAACATGTTATTCGATTGTTCTTACTGCCCTTTTAAGCGAGATTATTTGAGTTGCATGCGTACATGTAGGAAGACGAACAATAAAAATAAGGACTTAACTGTCTTACATCGGTATTATACAAATAATAAACATACAAAGTAGTGTCTTTTCATGGAATGGTAGAAAGATCCCAATAAATGAAAGCAAGCTCAAACTCGGAAAGTAATCTTCTTAAATAAAAATAATGCCTTCTAGCACTGCAATATCGGCTGTTGTATTTCTGAGTTGAGAAATGCTTCTTATCAAATCAGAAAAAAATAGCATTATTCAGTGGTTCGATCCTTTTATAACTATATTTTTTAAATATAACATGGATTATATCAGTATTATTACGCACCCTAGGGTTGACTTGGTTAAAGAAATAGGTCATGTTTTTCTCCCGTCACGTAATAAAGAGAGAAAGTCACGCTCCCTGTACGTTAAGGAACCCTTCCAACAAATCTTTGAAGGGTCAGTAGATGGCCTGTTGCAAGGCAAATTTCTGCTACCCATTCAACAGACCCTCATTTTCCATTAGTAGTTGAACTTATCGCACTTCCATCGGGTCGAGGAACCTACTAATTACATTAGTAAGTTAGTCAATTGTTAATCAGATCTCGTCCAGAAAATACACGTAATATTTGCCACTGGGCGTTTGTTATGCAATCAGTTTTGTGCCGTATTAAATAAATAAAACCATATGTCAAATACTTTGGACAGTTTTGTTTCATATTTTTTAAGGACAAGAACTATAAGAAAATATGTAAAAACAATCCATAAAATAAAAGAAGAGAGCTTCAAATTTATCATAATTGCAATTCGCCATTAATATCATTAAGTTTCCATAAAAGACATAAAACATTACGGCCTACCACTTACTTTGTTTTGACGAAAAAATACTTATTTGGAATTGAAATGCCTTCTTTTTTAAGTTATTTTTTTTTACATACTGAAATGTTTTTATAGGGCAAAGAAAGTAATATAAAAAAGAAGATGTGGTATGATTGCCAATGAGACAACTATCCACCAAAGTTCAAATGAAGTGGATGTAAGCAATATACTAGTAACCTAAATTCAGGACCATGGCTTTGTACCATGTTCACATAAACGTTACGTTTAACGACTTTTTTTATCATTATTTTGCAACGTTATGAGGGTCTACTTTATTATATTTTCCGGTGAAAAGATATCAATGACTACTAAAGTATAACAATATCAAATAATCCATTCATTCACTTGTCAATACATTAAAAAAAACTTTTAAATATAACAAAAACTATGATTTGGACGTTAATGGATTTTGGATTTACAGAGTTTAATATGTTTGCTGATTGGCTTATTGGACAATGGCAATTGAATATTTAAAGCAAAAATAATAGCTTCAATTTCTGACTATCAATTAGTCTTTCTACACCTATAATGAGTAACTTCCGACAATAAAAAAATCAAATCGATTTTTAAACTTTAAAACTGAGTTGGTTCTCATCTCAAAGACATTTCTGTACTAGCAGAAAACGGGAAGATCGTATTTTCTGTTTTTTACTAAAGATGCTAGAATTGGTATAAAAATATTTGTTTTCTAACACCATTCCAGCACTTATTTTTATCTCATGGATTTATCATGGAGTACTCGGTTTCAAGCTGTGACATTTTATTCTGCTTTCTGGATTGCTTTGAACTTTGGAAAAGGTATGCAGCATGATGTGTTCGTTGGATTATTTATTTTTTATATATAATATGTTCAATGTATAAATAAAAGTGGCTGAAGTTTCCTGAAAAAACTCGTACATTTTATAATATATTTTTTTCCTGTATACAGATAAGTATATTTTTTGTACATATTGTATTCTTGGAAGACCTGTACAGTTATTTGTTTATAATGTCTATTTTTCCGTTTAATTTCAAAACGACGATGATAATAAAAAAAATCAATTAGTAATAAATAATTATGAAAAAAAGAGTTTGGAAGAGAAAGACATTGCTATTCTATTTTTACTTATGGCAAACGTTATGCAAAAAAATAAAATATGATGGATAACCTTATAAAACCAGAAAAAGTAATTACTATTTTGTTCTCCATTTTAGTCTTATTTTATTTTATATAGATTGACAGATTAATTGAGAGCCTAACGTTCAGTCATCAAATCGGTACTTAAAAAATATATAAGAAGATATTAAGATAAGATAAGATAATGATTTATTTATATAAGTGTCACAATTTGAGCATACCAGTAAATATACATTTACTTTATTTTCATAATTCAATTTAAACAAAGATCATTAGCCAGCCTATAACAACACATTACAAATATATTAGATATGAATTATTACGAGAAGAAAGCATGGGACAATTAAAAACAATAATTCGAAGAGGGACAAAGAAAAAGACGAAGACACGTTCACAAAACACAAAATAAAAGAGCAATATGAACAAATGTAGCTAAAAATTGCGATCTATCTATAACTTTATAATGAAAAAAGCTTGTTTCTTTAAGGGATGAGAGGTAAGATTGAATGCGGAGAATGATTTTATTATATGTACCCTAGAAGATCTGTAAAATGATTTTAAAATCCAAACCAAATTCACAACACTCCTAAAATAAGTAAAACCTGGATTTGTTTGGCGATGAAATAGAGATTGTAAAAGGAAGGTTGTGTGAAAATGTGATAGCCGCAGCCGATTGAATTTTGTTTTGAAGGCCGCTGCTGTAATTTTGGTATCAAGTTTGCTGTTCTTCTTGATTGAAAAGTCAAAAGATCATAAACAGACCGATGAACAGTATTGTTGGTATTATCAGAAACATATATAATATTATATCAGTCTCTGGTAGTATCCGTTGTAAAACATGAAAATCCGCTGTTTACCTTTGGGTTATTTTTTTAAATAGTATAATTATATCTATTTTTTCTTAGGTTAATATCTTTTGGGGTATTCAGTAGAGTGAAGGGCATCGCTGATATCTTTGGTTTGAATTTTAGAATAATAATAAAGACCTAGGATTTATAGTTCCTCTGAAGTAGGTATCGTTGGGGTTACACGAGTTGCCAAATGACTATTCAATACTTAATTTTTGTATCAAGCAGTTTATATATAATATGTGATTAACACACGCAAAGTATTCTAATAAGGGTTTTGTATGACAGGTGTCTAGCAACATTTCAAGTCATTTGGGTCTTTGAGCGAAATATCCAATGATGTTAACTTTTAACCGACACTAACTGTTTTTTGACTAGTTATATGCATTTGAGATGTATTTTTATAATGCATTAATCTTCGTTTGGTTTTATGATGTGACAAAGTACTTTCAACAAGGCAGAGTAAAATATCGAAGTATAGTTAATGATTAGATAAGATATAATTACTTGACCATCAAAATGGCATGTGCTTACATCCTTAGGAATATTTTGTTAAGGCAAAATTCACTAAGAAGATACAATTATGGTAATGGATATTAACCAATACATCTAATCAGGCCAAAGGTTTTCTTAGTTCTGCATCCGCTTGCTTGAAGGTTTTTGATAGTCTTAAATAAAAAAAAGATTCAGAAAAACTTTTGAAAATTAAGAAATTTTGAATTTTTAGGTAGTTTCTTCAATCTTTTTTATTTTAAATTATATAAGTATGTCCTAAATTATTATTTGGTTCACAATAAAAGTATAAAGTTATTGATAGTCTGAGAAAAAAAAATCAGAAAAACTTTTGAAAATAAGAAATTTTGAATTTTTAGATAGTTTCTTCAATCTTTTTGATTTTAAATTATCTAAGTATGTCCTTAATTATTATTTGGTTCACAATAAAAGTATAACATACAGTATCTGATGTGTAGTTTGCTAAATAAAAATATGAAATTAAGGATGAATTTGAAGTTAACGAAATGCATTAAAAAGTTAAGACATGTTTTGTTAACGGATGTGATTTTACTTTTGTGTTTTGTTTATTTCCTGGTTGGCTTGTACAATTTGAAAAATGTGAAAAACGTACGGTAACCTATGATCGATAACATCATCGTCATTGGGTCTCTGGTAGATAGTTGTCTCTTTGGCAATCATAACACATCTCCTTATTTTAATAAAGACGGCCTTCGTATTGCTGACTGGGAACAAGCTCTTTCAACTTTCAAAAGATTGTTTTTTAAGGGTTTTCTTGGGATTTTGGCTCCACTTTCGAACCCTTTCAAATCTTTCATTTCTCTAAAAACAAAATGAAATATAACATCGGGATTACACTTGTTATAATGCATAATTACTTCTGTATGTTGTTCAATTTAGGCGAAGGGACACCTACATGTACCAAAGGTAGACCATACATTGAGAACTCAAATTACGTATGTTTCTGGTTGATTGAAACACTTAATGACTTCAATACTAGTTTGAACCTCTGTCAGAATGATAACGGAAGCTTAGGAATTATACCAGATCAGAATACACTGAATTGGTTGAATCTTTACAGGGAGGATGTCGGGTATGTACATTTGCAATTGATTAAAGGTACCAGATAGAGCCTACCTATCATCTTGGGTTAAATGTGAATTTAGAAATGATCAATTTTAGATACTTAACCTCTGCATCTTTTGTATTACTGAATATAATTGTTTTTGCCTTGTTCCTTTAAAAAATCCGTCAAAAAGAAAAGCTAGTTATATAAACGTATTGTTCCAACTATAGTGCATATGACACGTCTACAACATGAAAGTCATGTATTGTTTTGGGAATGCAATGTCTGAAAATCATAATTGACATTTTGTAAATTTACTGCAAAGCTGCTGTAAAAAGATACGAATCACTGGTAATTTTCAAACAGTAAGACCTTATAAAATCAGTCAAAATCTTAAAGAATGTAAAACGTAAATGATTTTTACACAGCACATGTGGAATGTTATCTTTTGATTGACAAACATTCAGGCAATTCTGCCTCTGCGGGGCAGTTTGTCCCCTTGGTTTTCATCTACACAGTAGTCATTGTTTATGCTATCTAAATAATTCAAGCCCTACCCGTCTCCGATTTTCTCCGCCTCAAGTGAATTGATCGTAGTGAGCGGAATATAACGACTGGATTATTGATTCGGGTTAGCGTTAATGCAATGGACGTGAAGTTCCTAATGAAAGCAAATCCAGAAAAGCGTATCGGACGCATGTAATTCATCAAGTGCTGTTTTAATTTTTACAGCACTGGGTAGATACCGCTGCTGGTGGACTATTAGGCCCCGAGGGTTTCATCAGCTCAGTAGTCAGTACTTTGGTAAACTTTTCTCAAATTGCTCGTTTATTAATTTAAAATTAACTAATGTTTCAACTCCCTCAGACAAAGTCGACCTTCGATGGTTTTATCTATCATTTTTAGGCTCTTCAACTGTTTCCGTTTTTATACATTCGTGGCTTTCAAATATCCGGCTTTGAGCGTTCCTGATAAAGATTAATCAAGAAAAACGCTTCGGACGCATGCAATTTATAAAGTGTTGGGTTTGTTTTTATCAGTTGCATTTTGCCTTAAGTTTACTTTAGGGTTTTTTTGTTACTTCTTTTTGATATAATCCCGCAATTTTTAAGCCCCATGTTCTGTTTTCTTTACTTTGAACGTTTTGAAGATTTCTATAATAGAATAAAAATAGCGCTTGGTATCTCTAACTTTCACTGCAGTATTCCTAATTCAAAACGAAAACAACCGTCTCTGTTTCGTGATAGCGTGATCACCTCGAGTACAGGAGGTTGTGTGATGGAACCCTGGCCGGGTCATACCACAGACTTGACGATTGGTATGTGTTAATTCTCAGCTAAGAACGCGGCATCTAAGAATAATAGCAATGACTGGTTGGCTCAGAGTCAAAACAATGTGACCGGGTAGAGTGACATGTCTTCATTGGGAATGTTGCCTTGTGTAAATCTGGCTCAGTCTGTCGGTCTCGTACAAAGCAGGGTTCATGTCTCGTCCTGAATACGAGTTTGCATAACGATACATTTTGTCCACAATTTCTTTGAAACTCAAATCATGAAGATTTTTAATTTAAACGTATTTGCTTCGTTTAATTGAAGCACGTGTTTTTCGACATTTGATTGGCCTATAAATGGAAACCAATTGTGTTCATCTTCATGTCTTCTCTTTCCTTTTTCGTAAGAGGCAGATATTATGCCTGATTGTCTCATGACGAATGAAAAAAACCGGCGTGATTTTTAATATCGCAATCCGCTATATAGTAGTAAGCATGTCTTCTCAATGAAAAATTCAAAGAGAGGCGAAAGATACCAAAGGGACATTCAAACTCATTAGTCGAAAAAATAAACTGCCCCAATGCCATGGCTAAAAAGAAAAAGACAAACAGACAAACAACAGTACACAAAACACAACATAGAAAACTAAAGACTGAGCAACACGAACCTCACCAAACACTTGGGGTGATCTCAGGTGCTCCGGAATAGTAAGCAGATCCTCCTCCACATGAGGCACTCGTCGTGGTACTCATGTTAGTACAAACCAGGTAATTAGTCTTATTCGTTTGGTCGCATTCGGGGAAAGGAGACAGGATTGTAGTTACGACGTTTGGAACATAGCCGCTATCATCTGTGAAACGAATATTCCATAAAGGTCAACCAACTCTAGATGGCGCTGTAAAATTTACAAAAGAATGATTTCAACTTCATCACTTGGAACTCTTGGTTTAATACCTTCATTGTGAGCAGCAAAGTTTGGTGATTCTATCATATTGAACACAAATTAAAGATTTCCCATACATACAATAACGTCTGCTTCGTATCTTGACTTGCATCTAGAATTGACAATGAGGAGCGTCTAAAAATTTACGACAAAGATGATTTAATTTTCCCTTTACTAACTTTCATTTCTCTGTAGAACATTCCAGCAGCGGTTTTTTTTAATTCAACAGAACAGGGGTTTAACTCTTACTTAATGACAATATGTACAGACTGTAACTTTATGTCACTTTTCGAAATGCACAAGTTTTCCAACCCAGGCATAGATGGCCTTTGGCAGTTGTGGCACAACGTTTGGAATTTTTACTTTTCAGTGATTTCCAACTTCGTTACCGATTTGGCATTCGAATCGTTTTGATTCGAGCGCCGCCAATGATTCTTGTGTAGACGAAACGCGCGTTTTTGTATACTGAATTATAAGCATGGTATCTTTGATTAGTTTTTTTAAAGAAAGAATTTATTCAAAATTGGGCATTTTGTCTGGCAGATGAGGTGAATTATTTTTTATCTTTATCAAGTAGAATAAACATTCATAAATTATTCTGATTAAAACATTCAAATATTTACTATGATAATGTTATCATAAAGGTTACTTATACAGGAAGGAATATAAGGAGTTCTACATTGGTTATAAAAGGGACATTTTGAATAAACTTGTGACATTGGATGGCCGACAGCAAACCTGGGCACCGTGGGAAAGTGGGCAACCAAGTGGTACTGCAAGTGCTTTCTGTGTAACATCGTTTAATAGAGATGGTACTTTCTGGGATGAATATTGTACTGACACGTACTATGCTATTTGTCAGTGGCCAAAATTTCTTGGTAAGGTGAATATTCATTATATTCATATTATGTATCTTCCTGTATTTCTACTTTCTGAATATTTAGAACTATATTTCAGGATAAGAAAGACAAGAACATATGGACCAAGCAAATATATTGTTGATATCGAATGTATTTATAAATATTTGTTCAACCTGTTCAAATTTGTTTACGAAAACGAAGTTTGGAAACTAAATTACAAAAAATGAGCAACTTGATATTTGCATAACATTGCTTAATTGGCCAAATTAACATAAACCAGCCAACTGTTCAAATGAATATGAATAATAAATAAGAGGCAATATACATAAACGAATTACTAACGAATAAAAATCGGCAAAATCAGCTTATCGTCAGCTCAGTAGTCAGTACTTCGGTACTGACATGATTTATAACAAACTTTTCTAAATTTGTCCGTTTATAAATTTTGAAATTATAAAGAAACTAAGGTTTCAACTCCCTCAGGCAAAGTAGACCTTAGATGAATTTGGCTATTTGTTTTAGGTATTTTTGTCATATAGATCTTCAACTGTTTCGGTACTTATACATCCCTCGGATTTCAAATGTTTGGCATTGAGCGTTCCTGATGAAGGTAAATCCAGAAAAGCGCTTCGGACGCATGGAATTATTAAACGTGGTGTTTCCAATTTTTTAACTCTAGAATGTTGTAATATAAACGTAGAATATAGGTTTCAGTGCGCACGACGTATGTTTATAGAATAACCCCCAGGTACTCGACTCAAAAACAAGCAAATCCATATAAATAAAATTGAGAATGGAAACGGGGAATGTGTCAAAGAGACAACAACCCGACCAAAGAGCAGAAAACAGCCCAAGGCCACCAATGGGTCTTTAACACAGCGAGAAAATCCCGCACACGAAGGTAGCCTTCAGCTGGTCCCCAAACAAACATGTGTACTAGTTCAGAGAAAATGGACATCACACTAAACTCCGAAATATATAAATGAACTAAATTACAAAAACATACAAGACTAACAAAGGCCAGAAGTTCCTGACTTGGGACAGGCGCAAAAATGCGGCGGGGTAAGTTTGTATCATAGCACCTTTTCTTCGTTTATTTTTTTTTTTGGTTTTTGTTCCAATATTCTCTTTAACGACACGAATTTAAGGCGTTTCAAATGTATATATTGGGGAATGTTCACTATAATGGTCTTGAAAGTATTTAGCTATAAATATAAAATAATTCAGATGCTTATATTATGAGGTTGTATATAAGGTTTTGTTTCGGAATATTTAGTTTTCTGACTAGTAAAACTTAAAGACAACAAACCAATCGCAGACTATTGACTTTTGCAAAAGCCACGCAAGTTTTCTAAAAGACCTCTTAGAAACCTTGTAATATTGGTGTGCTTCGTTTTACAAGAAATAAAAATATACTGTTCTATCTGAAAGAAAAAAAGAATAAAAGTGTGCAATCCATCATCAGATTAATACTATCATTCTACAGTATATTACCTCAAGCTAGCTTTATTATAATCGTATCATTCTTTTTTTGTTGTTAACAGCGACATTTTGGAAGCCAACAATAACTGGTACAACAACAACAGAAAAAGATTCTACAACTTCGACAACAGATGCATTATCAAGTAAAAACAAAATAGAAACTTCCACAGGTGAAGTAACAACAGAAAAGATCATACCTATAACAACGGCACATAACCTGGGGACTACAACAGATCAATCTTGTCGGTGTTTCTGCAAAACAGTGGAAGTTAACTCTACTATAAGTGCAGCAGAAAAGGCTGAAATAGCTGCGAATATTTCAAAGGAACTTTCTGTAAATGTAGAGACTTTGTCGTCAACTATTCGATCAAAGACATCAGCTAAAGACGACAGACCATCTTCAACAGGCATAGGATATGTAGGAGTAATACTATTGGTCACTGTCTTTGGTGGAATTATTATTTTAGATCTTCCTGTTTTCTGGACAGTTGTAAAATTACGATTTTATGATTTGAAAACGTGTTGCCAAAATTTCAAAGCGTAATAAATTTTAATACTTATCTCATGCACTCTCTATGTACAATAAGGTTTTCCTAATTTAAATTAAATAATTTAAACTGTTTAATTTGCTCTAGACTTGAATGTCAATATTATTTCAAATCATGTTTGCAACCGAACAAAAATCTGTCTTGTAATTATTTTTATCGATATTTTCTGCTTAAAGGGTTGCTACATCAAGTAGCATTCCAGGTAAATGCAGAGAGGTTTTACGTTTATAATACATTTCGCTTTACGTTAAAAGAAGGTAAATAAAGATGACGGGCGCCACCTAGTTGATTACAGACATCAATGTGATACAAACAAGGTTACAAGAGCGCAATTATTTGTTTACATTTTACCGGCAAGTTTTTTACCCAAAGATGGTACGCAGAATAGAATACTGTACGGCTTCTGATTGGATGATACAGAATTGGAATTACTTTTAATCGAAAGCTTATCTAATTAGGTTTAAAAAATCCAGAAAATCAAATTCACATTTTGCAAAGTATAGAAAATATCTTCCATTTCTGCACGTCAGGGTTCATTAAAAATATGCCTTTTTCATTAAGCGAAAAAAATAGACGATCTTTTTCAACTGCATTTTAAGTCAATTTTTGCCGCATGACCATATATATTTTTTTGGTTGTAATGCAACACTGGCATTTCTAGGAACTGCTATCCGTTTTTCCCTAGTTTGTGTAGTCTTCGAGAGAAAAAAATACGGAACACCACTGGTACCCTATGGAAAATGCATTACGAATAATTGCGCTCTTGTAACCACAAGATAACAGCTAGAAGTAAAGTTAAATAGTGAGAAAGGGATATTGGTGACGAAATAGCAAGAAATTTCTTTGTGATGAGCAATAGTTCATGTTCAATTAAGCAAGGGATGTTCTTCATTCATACTTAATACGGAACCATCGAGTACCCTTAAGAATAACATTTTTCAATAAAAAAAAAAGCTGCGACACAATATGTGTTTTTTTCGGATTTATGCATATCCAAATGTGTTAAAAATTCAGAATTTTACAGTTTTGTCAACGGATTTTATTATAATGAAAACGCAGAACCCAAACACATAACTTATAAAGGACAAAAAAGTATGAAAATAAATACCAAACTCCAAGATAAATTTGAATATGGGAAAGTCAATTAAACCTGACAAAATCAAACGCTCGACTATATCAACCAATGGAACGAACTGAAAACAACTATCATATTACTCACTTGGTACAGGCATTCTCCGATAATAAAAATGGTGTGTTAAACCTTGGTTTATAGATAGCTTAACCCAAAATATATACCACCATCGAAGAGCTTCCCTTCTTGCAACCCGATTTTAACATGAAGAGAAGTTAAATTTGTTCTTTGGTTGTTCTTACTGCCCTAATTAAGCTAGGTTATTTGAAGAAAAACCGGTACATAGGAGGACGGACAATATAAATAAATATACAGAAAAACAGAACTTTGTTATATCGGTATTATACAGACAACAGTAAACACATCTGTATCGCCTTTTCATAGAAAGCTAAAAAGATCTAGGTTAACGAAAGCAAGCTCAAACTCGGAACGTATTCTTCTCAAATATGTATCGTGCTTTCTAGCAGTGCAATATCATCCGTTGTATTTCTAATAGATATAAGAAGATGTGGTATGAGTGCCAATGAGACAACTCTCCATCCAAGTCAAAATTTATAAAAGTAAACCAAGTCAAGAAATGTTTGTTGTCAAGCCAGAAAAAAAGCAGTATTCAGTGGATCAATGCTTTTATATATACATATTGATATTACATTCGTTATATCGGATTCAGTATTATAACGCACCCAACTCAATGACTGCGGTAAGGAAATAGGTCATCACTTTTTCTTCTCTCGTCACGCAGGTAGGCGTCCGTTTGGCTACGTGGGATATATAAACACATAACCATGTCCAGTCTGAATGGGAGCGTTACATCTGATTTCTCGGATCGAAGAGAGAGAGAGAGAGAGCTGTTGCTAGGAAAAATATCTGCTCCCTATTCAACATAATCTCATTTTCCAGTTGTACATTTCGGGCCACGCTCTTTTCGGAACCAATCAGTTTTGTTACGTATTAAGCAAATAAAATTTTGGACAGTTTTGTATCATAATTTGTTAAGGACAAGTATTATAAGAATATCTTATAAAAAAGACAACACATTAAACTTAACATAAAAAACCAAAATAAAAGAAGACAGTTGCAAAAAAAAAAGGGAATTCGCAATTAATCTTAAAGAATTTTTATAAAAGACATTAAATTCTTACTGCATACCACTTACTTTTGTTTTGATGATAAAAGATTTATTGAAATTGAAATACCGTCTTATTTTTGACTTGCTGAAATGTTTTTGACGATCAAAAAAAGTAATACATCTTGAACTCAATATCCTTAATTCAAGACTCATAGATATGTACCGTGTAAATTCGAACGTTACATCTAATGACTTTTTGATGCATTATTTTCAAATTTTTTCAGGACATCTTTTATATATTTTCCAATGAAAAGATATCAATGACTTAAACAATAAAAATAGAAATTTATCTATTCATTTCATTTTCAGTACCTACATCAAACTTTAAATGCTTTAAACAAAAAATGGAATAAATGTTAATGGATTCGGGATTTACAGATTCTATGATATTTGCTGATTGGACAATGGCAATTGTATAATAAAAGAAAAAAATAAAAGGTACAAATTCTGACTATCCATTAGTCTTTCACACCTATAATGAGTAATTTCCGGCATTAAAAAATCAAATCGATTTTCTTTTAAACTTTTAAACAGAGTTGGTTCTCATTCTACAAACATTTCTGTACTAGCAGGATATGGGAAGGTCTGATAAGTGTTTTTACTAAAAATGCAAGAACAGTTATGAGACTATTTGTTTTCTTTCACCATTCCAGCGGTTTTTTTTTTTCTCATGGATTTCTCATGGAGTACTTGGTTTCAAGCCGTGACAGTTTATGCTATTATCTGGATTGAAATGAACTTTGGAAAATGTATGTAGCATAATGTGTTAGTTGGATGTTTTATTTTTAATATACTATGTTCAATATATGGATAAAATAGGCCTAATTTTTCTCATAAACTCTTACATTTTATATGTTTTTTTCGTTATTTTGTTTTACCTATGGCAAACCTTATGCAAAACAAGTATGGTCAAGTATATATGATGGATAACAGTATGAAGCCAGAACAAGAAATTTTAGTCTATTTTTATTTGATAAAAAGGCAGATTGATTGTTAATTGAAAGCTTAACGTTCATAGATCAAATCAGTACTATTATAAAAAGATATAAGATTAGATAGATAATATAATGATTATTTAAGTGTCACATAATAATCATGCCAGTAGGTAAACATGTTCTATTCATAATATAATTTAAATAAAGATCAATACTAAGCCTATATAGATTTATGAGACACTATATTTACAATACAACACATGAAAAATATATAGTATATAAATTATTATGAGAAGGAGGCATGGGATCATTAAAAAAGTTATTGTTCAAAGGGGCACAAATAAAAGAATGACGAACAGTCGAACACTCCCACAAAACACAGCACTGAAATGTAACAGACCAACACGAATGTAGCCAAAGACTGCAATATATCTTTAAGTTTAAATGAAAAAGGCTTGCTTACAAATAGGAGTAGAGTATACTATTTTGAAATTATTGAATGAGGGGAATGATTTTGTAACATGTACCCTAGCAGAACTATAAAATGATTTCAAAATCACATCTGCTTCCAAACACCATCACATAAAGCAAAAACTGAATTACTTTGCCGATAAAATAGTTGATTGTAAAAGGGAAGGTTGTGTGAAAAATTTGATAGACGCAGTCGATATTATTTTGTTTTGAAGGCCGCTGCTGTAATTTTGGTATGCAGTTTAACAAAGAAAGTCCGCTGTTCCTCTAGTTTGAAATATTCAAAGAATATTAACAGATTTATGAAAGTTTAGATTTTTTTTTACGTCAGTATTGTTAGTTATATTTATGCAATGTAGGAAGATCCGCTCCTTTCATTTACTTAAAAGTTTTAAATAAGATAAACAGTGCCATGTTTTCCAAAGTTAGTATCTTTGGGAGTATCCAGAAGAATGAAGAGTATAGTTCCTTTGAAGTAAGTATTGTAGGGGTAAATGTTGATTTTCCAAGATTAATATTAAATACGTAATTTCGGTATTGAGCAGTTTATATACTAAAGTAATATGATTTACACTCATATAGAATATCATTTTGAGTCTTTGTCTGACAGGTGTCATTTCAAGTCTTTGCGAATAGATGTGTCATGCGTGTTCATAGATTCTTCAAGTGTTTAGTTTGTATATAGGTGTGTCTATGACACGCTTTCACAGAGTACGTGCAAATATCAAGTAATGTTAACTTGTTACTAACGGTTAATGTTCCTCGACAAGTAAAAAGTAAAATAACAAAAATACCGAACTGCAAGGAAAATCGGAAAGTCCCTTATCAAAATAATTGAGAAGTATTTTTTTTATAAAACATTAAGTTTATAAAAATAAGGAGATGAGGTATGATTGCCAATGAATAACTATCCTCCAAAGTTCAAATGAAGTGGATGTAAGCAATTATAGGCAACCGTACGGCCTTCGATAATGAAAAAACCCATACCGTATGGTCGGCTGTAAAAGGCCCCGACATAAAAAATATGAAACAATTCAATTGAGAAAACTAACGGCCTAATTTATAGCAAAACAATTTACAAAATACAAAAAACAAATATGACAGACATGAACCAACGACAACCACTGAACTACAGGCTCCTGACTTGGACAGGCACATAAACAAAGTTTGTGAGAGCTCAACCCTCCCTTAACCTGGGACAGTGATGTAACAGCACAACATAAGAACAAACTATAGTATATAGTATATATCAGTTGAAAAAGGCTTAACTTAACAGATCGATACAAAGAAATACATCAAACAAAAACACAAACACGACGTGGCAGGGTATATATCCATCCCTCATCCCTAAGAACAAGAA